ACATAAAAATAGGATTTCGATTTTTTAGATATAACTTTTTTTAAAAATTTTATAACATTTTATTTTTGTTAAAAACGCCATTTTATATAGGATCGGATCTGAAAATTTATTGGCCGATAACCGATATTTTAAAATAGATGAAATATCGGCCCGATCCAATCCGATAAAAAATATCGGTACATCCTTAATTAAAATATACATTAATCTCGTTTAATATTTCTAAAACATTTCGTAGTTCTTTTATTGATTGACATAATTGAACAATGATTAAATAATCAATGACAATAGCATCAAATAAAATCAGCATTTGGCGCCTCCGCTCTAATCAAAGCCTGCACTCCATTGATTCTTCCACTCATGTTTGAGGCGCCATATAGCTTTGCCCAACTAGGAATTCGAGTAGATTTATGGAGCCAAGTTTGGATATTATATTTTTTTTAATAACGAGACCAGATGTACTTCCCGTACAATATATGTCTATCAGTCTTTTAACGGGCTTTAGCGTCTCACTATTTTTAACATATCTTACTAACAAAGCTATTGCTTCTGATTTCGAAACATCATATGTGCCATCAACTCTAATTGAAAAGCACGTGTTAAATTCAATTTCTTTTTGAATTTTTTTTATAACCATATTTTTCATGGTTTTAATGAGAATATTTATGTTATTATACGATAATAAATTTGAATATAATTTCGATTTTAATCCCTTATTTTATTTCTTCCTTCTTCTTTCTCATTTTGTTGTATATACATTTTGAGTACAGGTTCAAAATCTGCCATGAGTTTAATAAGGCCCATCATGTTGCTTTCTTGTTGCCTGTTCCCCCAGAAGGCTTGGTTACTAGGTATTAAATAACTTAGACATCTTATTATTATTCTTATGATAGAACGGTTATTATTCACAAATTCTTTCTGGGGTATTATAAATTGTAATACGGAACGGCTATCATATGTACCTGTGAAGATTCATATACAATAATATCACGATTAATATTTTGCCATTTATTTAGACCTTCATTAACGGAACACGAGGCCTATAGTAAAACAATAAATGAATTAAATTTAAAAAAAATTAATGTCATTTAGGTGAAATATCACTGGTCAGGCCTGTAAGCAGGAATTTTCTACGGGGGGAGGGGTGGAGTAATTTTTATATTGAATAATTGAACATTAGAAATTTATTGCAACCAATCATATTTTAAAAAATAACAACTTCAAAAAGAGATAAACAAATTTTGGAAAATATAAAATACTTAAGAGCAAATATAATATTATTAAAAATATTACTATATAAACCAGTATCTAAATCACAATATAATATGGAATATGATGATTTAAAAGGTTAAAATACTTAAATAAAAATTTAAAATTCATTCAATCGAGTTTTTGATGTGGTACCTTTAAAATAGATTTTTATTCTCAATAATGGAAAAGGTCCTCTCATTGTGCTATTGTTATTTGCCATAATATACAATAGTTTTTATATATTTAGAACATGAAAATATTGCATAAAATTTTTGTGTAATTTTAATACATTTCAATGTAAAAAAATCGGCAATCTAAGAATATTTTAGCTTCAGGTGAAATATCTGCTTCAGGCCATTCTGTTATTTCGAGCACTCTCAAAATATACTATTCTACTGTAACAGCTTGATGTCGAAGGCTCCATCTTGTCGGGCATGCCTTTTCTAGTTTCTTCTTGTAGCTCATGACTATTCAGCGAATTCTGTTTCTTTGGATATCTGAACTTCATATACTCTATAAATTTTGCCTAATCAGAGTTATTAGTAGAGATTAATTAAATAGATTTTTTTGGTTGAAAAAAATTAATTATATCCATCAGTGTTAGGTTTAAAAAAATGTAAGGAAATATTATCTTTTTTAAAACGCCCCTTTTACCAAAAATGTATGCATTTTGATTTTCCATACGTTAGTCACATGTTGAAGAGATCGCCTTTCACTAATATTAATTGGTTATAGGGAATATATTTGATAAAATTATCATGGGTATTTCTAACAGTAAAATTAGTCTATGTCCAAGTGATTGATGGATAGAATCAAAAGGTATATTGTGGTACAATGTTAGAATGATAAGGATATGAATTCAGATGAAAAAAAAGGAATAGATGAAGGTGAAAATAAATTTTGGGATATGAATTCAGAAAAAGGCTAGGGGTATAATGGCCTAAGGAATAACGTAAAATTAATACCTATAAGGAGGTAAATATTAGGTAAAGAGGGAAAGAAAGAGTTTAGAGCGAATTTTAAAGAGCCAAAGAACTATGGCGGAGTTTTTTTGATGGAGGGAGAGTGGGGGTGGGGTAAATAAAATTTAATATTGATATGGAAATTAAGTTCAGGTAGAAGTTAAGAGCACTATATTTAGTGGGTGAAAGAATAAATAGGTCTGACTACATAAGGTTGAAGACGAAAACTAAAAGATTTGTATTTTTTGTTTTATCAGTCTTGTTTGAATAAACTAAATTTGACATTATGTTAAAACATACATAAACTTATGTAAAAAAAATTGGTAAAGGTCATTTTTTAAAATCTACTCTACTTACTAAGAATTTAATACTCATTATTTTAGGTACTGTAATTGGCAAAATCTCAAGCGCTAACTTTTTATTGTAGCTTCAATTTATTTTATAAATATTTAAATATTGCAGATGATTTTCAAATAAAAATTGTTTTTTTTAGTATCACGTGATAAAAATATGATCTTTGATTGCATAAATATATAGGACTTATAATAATTAAAACATTGGGCCAAAATGAGATAGAACTTTATTTTAATGTATAAAAGGCATATATTTAAAATAGTTTGAGGTGATTTTTTGAACATGGTTGGATGGGACTCCTAAGAAAAGAATGTTATTTCGGCCTCCGACCTATGAGAATAAAACCATAAAATCAGGCAACGATTTATTTTTTTTAAAGATTTATACCATAATTATCTAATATGGGATTAAATTTTATACTTTGATTAAATTGGTTTTTAATAAAAAAAAATTGAACTCATATACCCCATGGTCCATTGTACCCTCTCCTGCTTCAACAATTAAATTGCGTATGCATAATACATTTACATAAAAAAAGAGTTGGTAAAGAAAATAATATTTAAAAAGAATAAGATAAATTTTTTACCTTACATTTGGATAGCTAAATTCAGGTTCTCATTTTAGGACTAACGCCTCATTTATAGTAAGCAGATTTGCTCTAGCTATGCGAAATTAATCGCTGCGTAATTTACAAAAGCAAGCCAATTATAGGTATAATTTATAAATGAGCGAAATGATAAAATCGCGGCAGCTGTTTAGATATATTTTAAAAGATTATAACTTTGCGAATCAATTGTAACCTCGCTAGCGATTCATTTCGCATCGCTTGACCAAATCGCGCTTACTATGCAGCGTAACAGCCAAATTTATTGATTAGAATTTTAAACTAATCAACATAATAGTGCAATATGAGTTTTAAAATGTTCTGTCACTATATTTTCGTAAAAAACGATCAAATGCAAATAGTAAATTTTATTATCTATTCTTTTAAAAATCTTCAAATATGCATTTGAAGACTTTTGAGCAAAAATCTTTGAAGATCGACATTAAAAGATTAAAACTTGTGATTTCATCATGAAAGATTTTTTTTGCATTTATATCACAAACGATTTTACTTATAAAAGATTTAAAATTATTTTTGGAATTTTAGTTAAACTTTGATCAAAAATACTGTTTGAGCATTTTCAAAAAAATCTTCTTTTAAAAAATCTTCCGAGATCAAAATTTTGATTTTTTGAGCAAATTTTATCTCTGGTTTAAACAAATCAAATACGTATAATACATATATTCCTGTTCGTTTTTAAATATGCCTAACCAGCTGATAGATCTATTCCTAACATTTTAATAATGAAAAAAGATTATTAGTTCCAAATATCATTGATACATGAAAAAATTTTGAAAAGTATATTAATAGAAGAGCTAGTAATTTATTTATGAGTTATCTGTAAACCTTACCTTAAAAAAAGAAAAACGTTACCGTTATTCGTTACCTTGTGGAAAAAGGAACGCGTTACTCACTATTCAAAAAAATACTAAATATTATATTCAAATTTTTTTCCCCCATTGATAATTAAAAAAAATATACAAAAAATAATATTTACAAATAAGATAGGATCCTTTTGTAATAATTTATTTATTTTTAACAATTGATTTTCAAAATTTTGATCAAATAAGCAAGAGCGCTTGGTGCTCAACACAGCTTTCAGTGTGATAAACACACGTTCACCTGTCTCAGAGGATAAGAGGGGTGTATTATATTTAATAAACGAAAATTTTAATTGGAAGAATTTATTAGAAATATTTAAAAAATGATCAGATCCTCATCAATTTTTTTTTCTTATCTATATCTGAATTTATACTTTACTTTCATGTCTTTTTAGATTTAAGCTGCTGGACATTGAGGTTGAAATATTAAATTAGGGCACAATCTACGCTTACAAAGTGTAGACTTATCCTTAATTCTCTTTATTGGTGTAAAAAATGCTTCATTCTGGGGCCAATGCATGTATAAAATTTAACAACAAAAATATGATAAATAAATAAATATGAAGAACTTTGATGGTTGATCGGAATTAAAAACTCGGCATAAATTATTAATGAAATTTTAAAAAAATAAAAAGGAAAAAATAAATTAATTACCTTTTGTACCGTTACTCAAAAAGAGAAACGTGTTATTTTTTGAAACAAGTAAAGAATAGCTTGCCATTTTCTCAACAATGTAACGCCGATACTTCCATCTATGTTACGTTACATCATTAGTCTTTATTAATCAAAGATTTTTTAAATAATACAATTTCTTACTCACATTTAAATAATTGAACCTAAAAAATTTGATTTAAATCAATCATTTAAAAAAAACGCTTGTTATCAATTTTATTTTTATTTCGATATTCTTCTTCTAATCTAAATTTTTATATAATTTTATTTGTTTATAAGATACTAATTGAATTTTGTGAAATCGGGGCCATAGACAATGTGATGATGGAATTAGAGAAACCTTTGACGGAACCGCAAATCAAATATATTTGTCACGAAATTTGTCACGCCCTTGATTTTCTGCATCGAAACAAAATTATACATAGAGACATTAAGGCAGGCAATGTCTTGTTAACGAAGGACGGCCAAATAAAACTAGGTGATTAAATAAGTGACTTATCTATAGGCGATTTGTAAAAATACTAATTTAATCATTTAAAAACGTTTCTCTGGTAATTTTAAATATCTATATATTAAACTATACATTTCAATGTCAAATGTATGATTAGTTATCTACAGAGTTGTTAAAAGTACTTTTCAAACGTATCTATATATATTGGCACCGATACATGGCATGAAAATTTTATAATGTGAATAAAATTATTTTACTACATATTAATAAATCTCAAATTTTATGGTGTATGGTTTAAATTTTTTAATTATTTTATTCCTTCTTCCTATCTCTGGGAACAAATGATGAAGGTCCAACTCTATCGCTATCATAATCAATTAAATCATCTAGACAAGTTTGAGTAATGTTTTGAAAATATTTTGATAAAAATTTTATTTTGCTATTGCATATGGAGAGCATAATTAAATATTTTCTCATTCGATTTAGTCATCAGATTTGTATTTTTATCAAAATGCAATATTGTTTTCTCTTAAGATGAATTCTATAAACTAATAAGAATACCATTTACTTTTAAGTGTTTTTAATATCACACGTTTGTCAGGTTTACTGAAATATTGGTCTTTTTTTGGGAGTTACGATAAGCATTATTGCAATAGAATTGTTTCTTTTTTTATAAGTTTTTATTTTGAAATAAACTAGCTAAGGAGTCAAATCGAACATTTCGGATTTTATGCTCATTACTTTTTTCATCTGTAATATTTAATCATTCACATTTATATTTTTTTAAAAGGATAAATAATTACCAATCAATTGTAAAATTTATGTCTTATTTGTAGTGTTGTTAATTAGTCGAGTTCTTTCGACTACGACTAATAGTCATAGTCATGGAAATCGACTAAAAACTTTAGCGACTAATTTAGTCGACTAAAACGACTAATTCATTTAGTCTACATGCTTAATCGATTAATTTAGTCGACTAAAATCAATTTTGAGTCTAACCGAACCTGACCACTGTATAGTCGGGGTTAGTCTAGTTCTTACGACTACTTGAAATATCAGAGAAGATAAACCATAGAAAAGTCACAAATCTCATATTCGTTATTTTTAATAATTTTTTGTTTTTCTTAATTTTTTTGGATCAAATGGGCAAAAATATACATGTTAAATTAAAATTTAAATTAGGATGTATCATAGAAAAGTGACAATTGTCATAATCGTTATTTTTAAACTTTTTTGAGTTATTTTAAAATAAACAGGTAAAAATATGTTTTGTAACCATGTTGAATTAAAATTTCAGTGAAGATGTACCATAGAAAAGTCACACTTGTCATAATCGTTATTTTTGAACTTTTTTAATAAATTAAACAGGAAAAATATTTATTGTAAACATGTTAAGTTAAAATTTCAGTTAGATGCACTATAGAAAAGTAAGTGGCAATTGTCATAATATTTATTTTTCAACTTTTTTGAATTTTTTGCTGAAACGAGCTGACTTTTAGCCTACGCCCGTTTATCTTATTGGGCGGGCTAGCTAAATAATATTAAAAATTGCGAGCGGACCGGTTTACTTTTGTTATTTAAAATTTATTATGTAAACATTAAAAAATATATGCTTCAAAAAATTTTAACATTTTTAATACCAAAGTACAGATAACTGTTGTGGATGTTATATTTGGGAGAAGCTAATGAGATTAAAAAACATTTTAGATTTGATTTGCATGGAAGAATATAACATCGACGTGAATAAAAATATGATTTCACTTTTCACAAAATCAAAGAAAGTTCAATTATTAAATTTTAAATGCAATGCTCGAGATAAGTAGCATCCACGTCAAGATTAAATCACAACAGAAGAGTAGATTAGGTTAATATAGGAGAGCACACTAATTAAATAACAAAACATTTAAATTTGAAAGTAAGGAGATTGATTTGTAAATCTACAATTATACGTATGAATAAATTTCTTGATTTGAAAACTATTTAAATAAAAAAAAGATTAAGTTTTGTTAATAGGTTAGTTGTGTAACCCCTAGATCCGGGGTTTGGGTCTAAAAATTGACCTAACCAGCTCTGATCACGAGCCCCTACCTTAATCGCGCCTAAAAAATGCGAACATGTATTTTCTTTAAAAAATATTACAAAATGTTACTGAATTTGTTATTATATATATAAAGTATTTAAGAATAAATGGGGATGGGGGGGGGGTTAACTAAACCTTTTTTCACAAAATCGATTTTCATAATTCTCCCTCAAAAAAAATTTTTCACTAATTTTTCCTCGAAATTGATCACGCATACCCCGTTTTCTTTAAAAGTCAAAACAAATCTTTTCCTCTTTTAATAATTTTTTTTAAAAAACAAAAACAGCCATTCATGGTACATTTCCCCTATATTGTCAATTTTTTTCCCCTCTTTAGCTTTAACCTTTTCTGATGGTAAGCTTTTTCAACATCTCTCTCCACTTTATGTTATTCATACAATCTCTTTTATCTAACTTATACTTCTTTATATTGGCTTTAACTTTATGGCCCCATTGAAGTTTTGGCCTTCCTCTTTTACGTTTGCCCATCACTTCCAAACTCTCAACCTTATTTCCTATGTAGTTTATAGGCCTTCTCATTGTGTGTCCATACCACCTAAGTCTGTTTACCATTAACTTAGTCTTAATGGACACTACCTTTAAACTACTTAGTATTCTTGTACTGCGCACTTTATCCTTTATTGTTACACCAGCAATTATCCTCAGCATTCTCATCTCCATATTTTGTAGACTTCTCTCGTCTGATTCTTTGGTTGGCCATGTTTCCGAACTATATAGAATAGTTGGTTGTACTATGGAACTGTAAATTTTCCCCTTTAATTTGTGTGGGATTCTTTTGTCAAATAGCACTCCAGATAAAGATCTCCACTTTAACCACCCTTGATTAATTTTACTCTTTATCTCTTTTTCTATTGTGCCGTTTGTTTGCATAGTGGAGCCCAAATATTTGCAGCTTATTGCCGATATCTGCCATTCATTTATATCAATACTCTCTGTTTCATCTCCTATCACCATACACTCCGTCTTTTCTCTATTTACTTTTAGTCCGAGCTTTTCTAGGATATTTATCCAACTCACTAATCTTTCTTTCATTTCATCCTTGGATTCGGCAAATATCACAATATGATCTGCAAATATCATATTCCACGGGACTGTTTGAGGTATAAACTGTGCTAATACATCTATTACTGTAATGAAGAGAAATGGGCTGAGAGCCGACTCTTGATGAACTCCTTCGGATATTGTGAAGCCTGCTGAAGTACCTGTTGTGCTACGGACCATTGTTGTATGGCTCATATACATATCCTATGTTATTCAATTATATATTCTTTGGGAACCTCTTTGTAACGTAGCGCCCATCAGATAAGTTTTCTTGGGATTCTATCGAAGGCCTTTTCTAGATCGAGAAAGACCATGTGTAGCTTTTTGTTTTTTTCCCTGTATTTTTCACCCATTTGCCTAATTGCGTGGATAGCATTAGTTGTTGATCTTCCAGGCATAAAGCCAAACTGAGTCTCTCCTATTTCGATTATGTCTTTTAATCTTTTTTCTATTATTTTTCTTATAGTTTTAGACAGTGTGACATTAGTTTTATGCCCCTGTAATTTTGACATGTGTGGATCCCCTTTATTTTTGAAAATAGGAACTTGATAGCTCTGCTTCCATTTTTGGGGAACCTCTTCATCTCCAAGTATTTTATTGTATAGATTTGTGAGGAAATGTATTCCATCATCTCCTAGTGCTTTAAGGCTTTCTATTGGAATACCATCTGGTCCCCTATTGTTGTTTTTCATATGCTTGAGGCATATGATTATTTCTTGTTCTGTTATTGGTTGTTCAAGGTTTTGACATGGGGAGTGTTCATCTAAATGAAAGCTGAGACCTGAAAATAATTTCCCATCTTTATTTTTGTTTACTTTCGGAGCTCCGTTTATATTCCTAGAGTTCTTTTCTCGCTGTTTGGCTAATCTGTATATTTTATTTTGCCCTTTAATTTCATATAATAAAATATCATCACATTTCGAGATTTTATTTATTGTTTTAATTTTGAAATATTTTAGGGCTAGAAAATAAATGACCAATTCCTTCCCTCCCCCGTCTATCTCTTCCATTGATATTTAAAATTTGTAACAATAATTTCTCCCATTGTTATTTAAAATTTGTAACAATAATTTAGCAAGATTTTTTGGTTTTTTAAATTATTTCAATTTATTATAAATATTATTTTAAATTTCAATGATTATAGCGCCTAGATGGCACCAGTAAGTTTTTGTTTTAAATTTTTATTTAAAAAAATTTTAATTTTAAAAAAATTTTTATTTTAATTTAAAAAAATTTTTTAATTTAATTTAAAAAAATTTTTATTTACATTTAATCGGTTGCTTATTAAACATCATACAGTTTTGAACACAATTTCTACTTATATGCCCCAATTCCCCACATGAATAACATCTTACATTTTGCATATTTATTTTTGGACGATTAAATCTGTTTCGAAAAAATTTTCTCTTTCCCAATTTTCCTTTTCATTTTTCTGCAAACTCATTGCCGTATTATACTCTTTACAATGATCATATTCCCTAGCATTCATTCTATCTTCTCTTCTGAAATCCTTTTCATATCTTCTCCCACAATTTTCTCCATGACTATCATTATTTCGTTTATCACTCTCATTTTATTTTCATCTGTAATCTCTATTTCTCTTTTATTAATTATACCTTTTCGTTCATCTCCCAACCTAATAATATTGATACTCTTCCTCATTCCTTCTATCATATTTTTATTTAAAATTTTTCATATTTTATCCTTTAAATTTAACATTTCTTTCATCATTCTTTCCTTTTCATTAACGTTTTTTAATTCCCTTCCATTTTTTTCTTTTTCAATTTCATTATTCTTAATTTCAATTTCTTACGTGATTTTTATTCTATCTCTTTCTATAACTCTTTTCATTTTTCTCCTATGTAACACAATACCAATTATCCATAAACATACCACTACTACAGCTATAATACAATTATTTCTTTGTTGGAACCATTTCCACATAATTTTGTGTTTTAATATTCCTTTTAAAATTAAACATTTATTCTTTAATAAAAATTTATTAAAACTTTTATTATAAATATTTTAACACTGCTAAACGTTAGAAAATATATTAAACTTATTATACTTAATAATGTAATAACCAGGGATGCGAACCCGACAAAATTTTAGACCGGGTTCGGTTCGGGGTATAAAAAAAAAGTTCGGGTTCGGTTCGGGTTCGGTTCAGGGAAATATTTTTGAACCCGGGTTTGGTTCGGTTCGGGTTCAAGAATTTTTGAGTTGATAAAAAAAATTCTATATTTAAATCATAATAAAAAACTAGACATAAATTTGATATAAAAAATAAATTTTTTATTTTATTTATAGGCCAATATAGTTAAAAATACAAAGCATATAGTCATGTATCAATTTTAAAAATTTTATTTAGACGTATTAGCATAATATCTTCCAAGAGTTGTTCACTCATCCTCGATCTATGTGGTGAAAGAATGAATTTCAAATGTGAAAAAGATCTTTCAACGCTAACCTATGTTAAATGTATTTATATGTGAAAATATGAAAAATTAACTTGGGTTGCAGGAACAGCAAATAAGATTTTAGATAAAATATATAATTCAGGGTGTTCCAGCTTAGCAGACTCCCAAAAATGCAAAATATTTTCCTTCTTATCTAATCTTATATAATCGCTAAATCCAGTAATTATTGTTCCAATACTTTTCTCAGCAATCGTTGGCCCTCTTTTAAATATTTTCTCCTGCCTTTCTTTAAGTTATATCAATTTCTCTAAATCATCTTCTTGTTCAATAACTTCATCGGAACTAATATCATCAGATAAAATTGGCGTTGTTAAGCTTTTAATTCGTCTCCATAAATTGACAAGATGTTTTTTCGCACAAATCTTATCATCATCACTAAGTAATACCTGTAATATTTAAGGATTTATATTGTTTATATTTAAATATTTCATAAAATAACAATTTTAATATAAATCTAAAATAATTAATTTACTAAGCTTTTAATTAACCTTGTATCTTGGGCCCAGGTATATGGCAGCTAAGAGAATTTCGTTCTTTATAAACCTTTCTTCTCTGTTTTTAAGACAAGAATATAGTAATTGAGCAAAATAGTTTGGATTTTTTTCCAGTTCGATGCAGCATCTTAACCATGCTGCATAAAAATCTGTCAGTGTTAACTGTTCAGATTGGAATTGTTTGGTTGCGATTTTTAGCGGTTTTGAAATTTCAACAATCGTTATTATCTCTTTCCAATCTTCAGTCAATAAATAATCAGATTGCTCTGTAAAAAAATCTTCGATATTGGGTTTTAGTAAAATCAGCCTTTCTAACATATCATGGGTTGAATGCCATCTGTGGCAATCTATCGCAGGCTTAGGGAGTTTCATATTTTTTAATAAATTTTGGTAAGTATGATGTCTTAATTTTAAATTTAGGCTCCTAGCTTTTGCAATGGTTTCCACAATAGGTGATAATTTTATAGCATCTTGAAGTGCCAGCTGAAGTGTGTGCACACCGTACACTATAAATCGGATAGGATATAATAGTTGATAAAAAAGTATTTTGTATATCATCAATATCATATTTATATACATTTACATCCATATTTTCCTCATCTGCTGATTCACTCCTTATATCATAATCAGTTTCAGGTTGCAGGAGCTTTATAGCTCTTAAAAAATTACAACCATTATCAGAAGTAATTGTGTATATTTGTTGAATATTAATTTTAAATTTTAGTAAAGTTTTTAATATATTCTCTTTTATATATTCTCCTGTACATCTCTCTTTCAGCTCTACAATTCCAAGAGCCTCAAATTTATAATGGACTTTGATATAAATTGAATATTTACACCAAGAATTGACCTATCTAGTCGTTGAACTGCATCAACTTTTAAACTTATTAATTTTCCTTCTACCTCTCTCGATATTTTGTCTCTAATTGATTGGGCTGTTTTATTAATAGTTCTGGATAAATTTTCTTTGTTTATAACTAAATTGAGCCCAGATAGGAGTGGATTTATAATTCTTTGAAATCCCGAATCTTCAATAATTGATAAAGGCCGGCCATTTACAGTAACAAGTTCTAATATAGAACTCATCAAATCATTAGATGATATATTTATACTTATATGCTTTTTTGGAAAAAAGGTTTCTATATTAATTTTAGGTTTTTTTGCCAATAACAATTCCTGATATTTGGTTTTTTCATTTAAATAATTTAAATATTCATTGTTGTGATTTCTTTCCAGGTGTCTTTCTAAATTTGACAAGTGATTACCAGACATTTTTACTTTGCAATATGAACATATTGATTTTTTTTTCTATTTTATTAAGGGTAAAATGCTTATCAAATATGACTTTATCTTTAATCTTAAATCTATAAAAAGAGAACAATTTTTTTAAATAGCAATGATTTCAGAATTAAAAAAGAGATATTTATAAATTTAATTTCATTTATAATATGCACTTCATTAATATCTTGTAAAAATTAAACTGAACCAAAAATAAATGATTAGCATATATAAATTTTAAAATCATTTTAATAAGTTCACAAAAACTGCCCTACATTTAACAATTTTTAAGTTAGATGTTTAGAATTTTTTAAATTAACAATATAATAATTTTTACTTTGATTTGTTAACCATTTTCTTCTAATTAATAATCTTTAAGAATAATAAGATAAAAATTTAAAAATAAATGGCGTAAATTAATTCAATTGTTTAAAATTTTTTAACACTCCAATAGGAATCGAGAATAAATTTAAAAATGGCATAAATGAATTAAATTGTTTAAAATTTATTAAGACTTCATTTAATTGGAAATTTGAAAATATAATATTTGTATTTACATATATTAATATATGATTTTAAATAATACACTGAACCCGATTGAACCCGGGTTCAAATAAAATTCTTGGGTTCGGTTCGGGGTTTTGGAAATTTTATAAATGGGGTTCAGGTTCGGTTCGGGTTCAGAGTTTTTTTCTAAAAACCCGGGTTCACTTCTCCGGGTTCGGGTTCGGTTCGAATCCCTGGTAATAACTATGAAAATACACATCATTAAATATTTTTATAATAATTTTTATTTTTAAGAATTTTATTTATTTTTTTGAATACAGTTTTCTGCTCCTTATTATTGCGTTGTGTCTCAAGTTAACTAGCTAAAATAAGATCATAGGCAACAAATTTTGTACCCTTAAAATAAACCTATTTTGACCTTAATATTTACGAAAAATATATTCAAAAATAGTTTAGTTAAATTTTGTAGAACACTTAGAAAAGATCCATGGTTCAAAATCTTCTGGTAACCCATATTTTAAACTTATTTGGACCTTCATATTTATGAAAAAAATATATTCCACCTTAATTTTTATTAAGTTTTTCTCCTTTACATATATAAAATTACATTATTATTATTATGCAAGAAAATAAATCAATATTATATAATGATAAAAAAAATATTATAAAAATAATATTGCAACAAAAAAAAATAAAATAGACAACATTAATATTACAAAAAGAATAAAAAAATGCGACCTTAACGGCGTACAATGCTTCTTACTACAACACTTATAATTGCAAATCAAATCCAACAAGTTTTTTTTATTTTTCCGACAATAACATCCACAACAGTTATCGATAATCTGGTATTTAAAAATTTTTTTACGAAGCATATATTTTTTAATATTTACCTAATAAATTTTAAATAACAAATAAAAGTTAAAACTTTGTTAGCCCCCCATTGTTAAAATTTTTCAAAGGTCCGTTAGCACTTTTTAAAATGATTTAGCTAGCCCGCCCAATTAGATAGAAGGGCATGGGCTAAAAACCACAACATTTGAGCAAAAAAATGCGAAAATATTTTAAATAACGATTATGACAATTATCATTTTCTATGGTACATCCTCACTAAAATTTTAACTTAAATATTTTAACTATTTGCTTTAATTCAAAAAAGTTCAAAAAAGTTCAAAAATAACGATTCTGACAATTGTCGTAAAAAAAAGTTCAAAAATAAAGATATGACAATTGGCACTTTTCTGTGGTATCTTTACTGAAATCTTAATTTAACATGTTTACAATATATATATTCACCAGTTTGTTTTAAAAAAAATCAAAAAAGTTTAAAAATAAATATTATGACAATTGTCACTTTTCTGTGGTATCTTTACTGAAATCTTAATTTAACATTAATTGCTTTGAAAAAATTTAAAAAAGTTCACAAATAATGATTATGACAATTGTCACTTTTCTATGGTACATCTTCACTGAAATTTAACATCTTTATAATATATATATTTTACCTATTTACTTTAAAAAAGTTCAAAAATAACGATTATGACAATTGTCACTTTTCTATGGTACATCTTCACTGAAATTTTAATTTAGCAAAAATGAAAAAATATTACAAATAACGATAATGATAGATAAATGTTAGTCACTACACTTTAGTTCATCTTCTATGATATCTCAAGTAGTCGGAAAAACTAGACTAATTAGTCACACTAACCCCGACTATACAGTTATGCATATTCGGTTCGGCTCAAAAATTTGATTAGTCGACTAAAACGGGTCTAAGCTGACTAAAGGGTCTACTACTTTAGTCGACTTAATTATTCGTTTTAGTCGACTAATAGACTAATTTAGTTTCTAAAGTTTTTAGTCGAATTTTTCTGTTAAAACTATTAGTTAGTCATTAAATTTAGTCAATTAACAACACTACTTATTTGTTTTAATTGTTGGTTGGCATGATTAAAAATTGATTTAAAAATATTTTTTTGCTTATTAAATAATTACTAATTTTTTTAAAACAATTTATTTCACCTAATTTTAATATAAGGACCATTCCATGTCAAATCGATCAAAAAAGGCACTTTTTCTGCCTAACCCTTTTAAAATTGTTAAAAATTTCTGGAATTATTTAGATAGGTAAAAAAATGAGAAAGCTGTTTATTTTAGCTCTATCGTTAAAATTTTTAAAATGCTTATATCTCAAAAACTATTTATAGTAAATAAAATTATAATATATCATTTTGTAGGTAAAAAATTCTCTAATGGGCTAACAAAGAATAATAAATATTGGGTCCATTATAGACTTTTAACATCCGGTTTACCTAAATTGCTTTACCTGTATTTTTAAGCAAAATAGTGAGTTTGTTTTCATATTTTTTTTTTGCTTTTTATTTAGACACCTTTTATAAAAATATATACAATATCAAAGGCAACGCTATCGACTTTTCCATAATATACATTTTTACAAAAATTGAAGAAAAAAGTAGATGGCGCTAATGGTTGAAAAATATTATTCTTAAGGAAAATGAAAATATTGATACATTTATAAGAATTGTGATAAAATTTTCCAGTTCTGCCCCCCCCCATCCCCCCTTTTTAGATCTCTACTTTGCTATTATAGCGAGCGAATGACTTATTAGCTCGATAATATATAATAGCTGCAGTAAAAATATTAGGCATATATTCGATTATATTTTACAAAATAAATTGTTTAAAACGATCTCTCTTTCTGAGAAATAATTTTAATCTGTCCGTATATATTAATTTTATCGTCTGTCTACCAATAACAATCTGGATTTGGAGAGTGCAAAAACATGTATTCTAGGTGTAGATCAATTAAAATTTTATTCTATATCACAGATTGACGTACCAAATATTAAAATGTTGCAACCCATTTAATCTACAGAGACATGCTTATTATCGTGAGAATCTAAGAAAGATTCTATCCTGGATTACCCAAAAAATTTACCATTCAATTTAGAATGTTAATATGCTCTTCATGGCGACAAAAATTATCAAACATTCATTATACTTCAAATGACAATGTAGATATTGATTCTCCCCTTCATATAATTAATCAAGAGGCAATTGATAACATTAATATATCCCTACAATCAAATGGGGAATCTCTCATTAAAAGAAAACGCTTACGTGAAAAGAAATATTCGAAGAAAAAAAATATCTAGAGTAAAAAAAAGTTTTAACGACTGAAATTATACCATTATCTTTCTTCATCAAATGATGAAAAATTCGATGAAATTATAGATACCTTAAAAATTAAAAAAATTATATGAAAGATATTTATTATTGGAAATTTGTTACATTATTAAGTGTCTAATGGGCATATGCCCATTCTGCTCCTCAGTTAATTAGTATATTTAATAGAAAATCAAAATTTTTCAATATAAAAAGTGAAAATATCTGGTTATTGATAAGTTAGCAGCAAAATTTTAACCATAATCCGTAATTTCATAAAGCGCCTTGTCAATTTTTGGAGTCGATAGCGTCGCCAAGGTTTTGATATTGTATATATATTTAGCAAAGGTGTCTAAATAAAAAACAATAAAAAAAATTCGAAAACAAACTCACTATTTTGCTTAAAAATACAGATAAAGCAATTTAGGCAAACCGGATGTTAAAAGCCTATAATGGCGCCAATATTTATTATTCTTTGTTAGCGCATTAGAGAATTTCTTTACCTACAAAATGATATATTATAATATTTTTTACTATAAATAGTTTTTGAGATATAAACATTTTAAAAATTTTACAGATTCCAAAGTGGCTCTTTTTTGTACCTTTGAGCCCCTATATCTCGAGAACCAGGTGTGCTAGCGAGCTAAAATAAACGGCTTTCTCACTCTTTTACCTATCTAAATAATTCCAGAAATTTTTAACAATTTTAAAAGGGGTCGGCCGAATCGTGATCGATTTGACGAGGAATGGCCCATAAATGAAATTCAGAAACATTTTATAAATTTTAATTCTCGGTATGACTAAAAACTGCATTGCTAAAAGCTAGAAAGCAATTAATCATAATCAATCAAAATTTTATTATATAATATTTTTTTCAAAATAATTTTCAGAAATTTTAATAAATCATTGAGTTAAATATCAAATGATTTATAACTCTATTTTTACTTAATATTATTGGGAAAATATATATATTTCTAGCTTATTACGAGTTAAATTTTATTTTTCAATTTTATCAAATATATATCCTTAAGAGGGCGTTAAATGCATATATGAAAATATCATCTTAGGAAACCAGAATGTATTGGTTAGCGCTTTTTAATATTTGGGTGTAAATACATGTGGAAAACCTAAAAATTAAAAAAAAAGATAGATTTCTTTGATATTTTATTTATGAGTAGGTTTAGAATCGCAAAATAATAGAAAACTTGTAAGGCACATTTACATATTAAGCATTATCCTAAAAAATATTTTGGAAATATTATGATTTTACCGAATACCTGGCTCAAAACCCAAACATTTACTAAATATTTGATTGACCAAATTTTCTGGTAATATCAATTGAAAAGGTTCATTTTTGTTTTATATATCTATAAATATGTGTAGATGATCGATTTAAAACCGCCTCAATAACTAAATACTGCATTGCTGCCGTTATCCATGGAAAATTTTTTTTTGGTTGATATAATTTACGTGTTAAGCATTATCCTAAAAAATATTTTAAAATATTATGATTTGGCCGAATGTCGTGCTCTAAACTGACCACCTACTAAATATTCGATTGAATACATCACTATTATAGAATAAAAAGATTAGTTTTATTATGATTAGAATAATAATAGAGTTTAAAATATGCTATATTTCTTTTTTACGAATTAATTTTATAAAATAAAAATTAGTGGTCTAAAATTTTTTTTAGAGTTGTTGGCTGGCTCAGATAAAATATGCGGCTAAGCTAAATAGCTTCTTGCTACCTCTAAAAATATAATTAACCTGTGATTAGCTATTGCCCAACCTTGATTAACACTTTTTATAACAAAATTAAATTACCACCCATAATTAATAAATCACTGACGCCTCTGAAAAATAAATATTTATATTAGAATAATAAGGTCTACTTCACTAAGATTATATTAAAAATATTCTTTTTAAATATGCCATTTTTTAAGTAATGGCCAATACGTAGATTATATCATCTTCCTTGATAACTTATTTCACTTTGATACTTAGCCTGCTTGTAAAAATTGTCCAGAAAATTTAAAAGTATGTCATCCATACAAATAATTTTTAAATATAGATGATGTAAATATTATCATTTCTTTTTTAATATAATAATTTAAGAACCATTATTTTAATAAAATATTTGTTCCAAAAGTATAACAATTTTTAGCTAAATTCATAAATAACATAGACCTATTAATTTTGACATAAAAATGATGATTTTTTATGTCAGACTTTATTTTGCATGATGAGCAATCTTTGTATACTATAAGTATGATTATACCAAAAAAATATTCTATAAAATCATTTTATTATAAATTTAGCAAAAAATTAGACTTATATTCAAAATAAATATAGTAATTTGAATATAATAAAATGTTTTTATCTGCCTCCCCCTTTGAATATAATTTTACATTTTATATCTTTTTTAAAAAATAGTATATTTATGGTTTTTAATAGTTAATATCTATATTGGAAATACTCAACTGTTATGCAATCAATGTTAACAAATTCAGACTGATTCATAAATTGCTATGTGTAAGGGAATATTTCTTGGATTTTAAGTTATGTGAGAATATTAAGATTGAGGATTTTTTTCATGAAAATAAAATATAATATACCAAAGAATAGTACAGGCAAAAAAAAAGAATTTATTTAAATCGTGATTTTTGAAAAAATTACCGATTTAAATCAATTTGAATTAATCATGCTAACCTTAAATGTAGAAAATAAACTCGGACAGATATTAATATAGATTATAAAAACTGCAAAACATAGTTACAGAATTAAGATATTTTAACAACTCTCATTTAGTGTAGTTAATTAGCAGGTTTGAGCTACTTGCCGGACTTATTTGAAGAATCTAAAAATTCAATTTGACGGAATAATAAAATTCAACATTATTCGAGTCAAGTCGAGATATATTACGATTTAATTCCCAAATAAGTTGGTGGTTTGGCTCGACTTGGAATACTATTCTGGTTATCTTTATCTAAGATAGATTTATCTGATCACACATATAATACTCTGAATATAAACCGAACAACATAGTATAAAAATTTATGTTTTAACATAAAATTTAGCCGATTTTGGAGTTTCTGCCAAAAATACTAACACACTTCAAAAAAGGGATTCATTTATCGGAACACCATATTGGTTTTGTTTTTTTATATTTATATTATTTGAATTTATTAATTAATTATGAATTTATTACATAATGCTTAGTCCCTATATTAGAATTTATATTTTAATTAATTTAATATTCTTAAAATTTATTTATTTTTTAATTTATCTTCACATATATAATTTGAAAAATTCTGACCTTTTAATTTTTGCACAATATCACTCAATTATTACTATCTAAATTTTATTTAAAATCGTTAAAAAGGAATTTATATTACGCTTATAATGTTGAATTATGCAGTAAGTTCTTTAAAGCATCTGATTTAATAAAATAAATGATCAATAATAAATAAGGATGGCACCCGAGGTCATGCTTTGCGAGGCAATAAAAGATAACCCTTATGATTACAAAGTCGATATTTGGAGTTTGGGTATTACTCTCATAGAATTTGCACAAATGGAACCTCCAAATCACGAAATGAATCCGATGCGCGTTTTGATAAGAATCCAAAAATCGGATCCTCCCATTTTAAATAACCCAAGCAAATGGTAATGATTTTAAAATGTTTTTTTAAGAAGCGTAATAATTCTCCCGAGAATACTTCTGTTAAAAATTATTACCCCCCCCCCCCCTCTTCCCATTTGCCTGTATGCCATAGGTTAATGCTAGTCACTAAGGTCATCGTATAGCAATTTTATAAATACCAACCAAATTTGCTAAATACCGGCCAAAATTTATTAAAATGTAATAAGACCCTTATTATTTAACATATATGGTATCACGTGGTCGAGCCCGGCCTCCTATATATCATCTCCTCAAGGACGGAACTACCAAGTTAGATATTAAGAAAAAAAACATGAACATTGCTGGGATTCGAACCCATAACCCTTGGATTGGTAAGTCACACCTTGCCGACTAGGCCATAGAGGCTTTCCAAAAATCACGATTTTTCAAATATATATTATAAATAAATTTGGTAGTGCCTACCCAAATGAAAAATAAATCAAATACAAATTTGATAGGTATTCCTTAAGGTAGTGACTATCATTAACCATATGCCATACAAATTTATTGACTATCATATCCTTAATGTGGGCATTTTCTCCTTTTGAACAATTAAAGGAATGAATAAATGAAAATCAAAGGATAGGGCCGAATGGTAAGAGATAACCAATAAATTATTCCCAACAAGTATTGGGCATAATTTTTTTAATGGAGCATTTTTGACGAAAAAAGAAAGCGCTTAAATCCTGATTTATGCATTATTATTTTTACAAAATAATTGAAAATTGGTTTAAATAAGTTTAATTTTATTTCCTAAATGTTGTATTTTTTATATTAATAATTTGCAATAAATAAATAAAACATAAATTTATCTTAGATTTCTGAATATGTAAATTTAATGCATGACATTTTAATATTTGGGTCACTCCACTTCAAATCAACCAAAAAAACGAGATTTTCGGACGACCTACTTTAAAATGAACGAAACTTGGCATGGTAGTTATCTATTTTGTATATTTTAGCAAATTCAGTATTTTAGAATGCTAGCTCAACCTATTCCAAAGATATACACCTTTAAAGTCGAAAATCTCATGCGTGATTTTATTAAATCTAGTTTTTTTTTAAAAAATACCTAAGATAGAATTACAATAACATATCATTTTATAGCCCTTAAATTTTTACATTGGAAAATACCGAAAAAATATAAAAAAATTTCAAGTGTTTTTTATTTCCGGTAAAAATAAAAAATTAACATTGTTAGGAAGGGATTTCTTTTGGGTGTTGATATTCTCTAAAAATGTTTATTACCTTTTTATTAAACTATTTAATAAATAATCTCGATAGCCATTTTTGTTTTTTTAATTTTGTTAAAATTTTTATTATATTTATAAATAAAATAGATAATATAAATGGCGTTTATTAAAAATTTTATAATATAATATATTTAATTAAAATATGTATTATATTGGTATATTAAAATTAAAAAAATCGATTAAGTATAACCAATATGATGTTCTGGGGCAATAAGTAAGGAAGCAGCCCATACCTATATGGTTATTGTTTAAAAAGCAATTACTAATTATCAGAGTTGTTAAAGTATCTAGATACAAGTATCTAGATATAAAAATGTAGTATCTGTATCTAGATAGATTTTTAGAAAGGCATCTGTATCTAGATATTTTTTAGAGGTATCTGTATATGTTTTAGATACTTTTTAAGATACATTTTATATACCCCTTTTTTTATTATAAATAAAAATATTTGACTGTAAAATTTATTTTATTTCATATGAGCTTATGAAATAAATATATATTATATATTAATATTTATTAATACTATAATAAAGAATTATATATACATAAAATATTAAAACTTATATATATAAATATTCATTAATTTAAATATTATGTCCGAGTTTATCAATAAACCATACAAATTTTAATATTACAATATGTAAACTTTATTTTATAACTAAATTTTTAAGTTTATATATTTATTTAGATCTATATCGATGAAGAAGAGGAAGCAACAACAAGTTCTATTGCTTTACCATGACCTTTTCACAATATAATATTAATTTAGGTTTATGCAAACCTATAAGAGCATAATAAAAAATGTATCTGTATCTTGATAACTTTTTAGACGCTGTATCTGTATCTAGATCCATTTAAAAAGTATCTTTTAACAACTCTGCTAATTATTAAAATCAAGTATTGAGGATGACAAATTAATTTATATTTCTAAAATAACATAAATAAAAACAAAATATACTTTTTTTTGAATTATTACATTTTCGAGCTCAAAATTTATATTACTAAAATTTACATACCATCGATAATTATTACATATAACTGTCATTTAATTTGATTATATTTTTAACCTTCCAATTACCTTTACAATTTAAACATTTCAGTTATCTTTACAAATTTTATATTCAAATTAACTGCTTATTTTTAAAATTATAAATAATTTTTCTTTTTCAATACACTTATTTGATAGTTATTAGGATGCTATATTTTAAAACTTTATATAAAACAAATTATAAATAAAATACCTCTTGTTCACCAGTTCTGGACACATTTTATCACCAGTTGATTTATATCCGTTTGCAAAACAAAACATGCCATCAGTAAATTTTACATATATAACCAACGAGCAATACAATTTAAAAGAGATTAAACTATAAGAAAGATTCAATTTATCTAGTCCCATTCCAGGAACTCGAGAAGTCCATGCTATATTTACTTTGAGTTTAAGTAAACTTAAATCAAAAATATATTCATATGGAGAGGACTTTCAATAACAATATTTCAAATGCCGATAATTCGTCTTTTGTCGATATTAAAGGATTCGTAACATGTGCTTATTACGATTTTTTGTGGTTAGCAACAGTACTAAAAAAGAATGAAAATACTGAGGAGATATATATTTTCTTTTCACATTCCCATGGACCATCACCATCCTTCTTTTACCCCATTTGAGGATAGATATGGTTGTCCATTAATCAAACAATAATGATAATAGATCGAATAACAGTGACAGGACGTACCTACAAATTATCGCCCCAGAAAATTCTATTAATAAGCGCTAAATGGGATAAGATTAATACAAGAAGTATTTTTTTTATAATTGTTTGTATATAAAATTTTAAAATATGTTTATTTTAAAATATAGCCCTTAATAACCATATCCGTATGGGCTGCTTCCTTACCTATTGCCCCAGGACATCAAATTTGTTATATTTAATCAATTTTTTAAAATTTTTATATCAATATAATAGATTTTCTTTTAAATATATTACATTTTAAAATTTTTTAATATAACGCCATCTATATTATCTTTTATTATATATAATAATAATAAAAATTTTGATAAAATTAAAATAACAAAAATGGCTATCAAGATTTTTTATTAAATAGATTAATATAAAGGTAATAAACATTTTGAGAATATCAACACCTAGTTAATATTTTTATTTTTAGCTGAAATACGAAAACACTAGGAAATTTTTAATTTTTTTTCGATATTTTCCAATGCAAAAATTTAAGGGTTATAAAATGATATGTTATTTGTAATTCTATCTTAAGTATTTTTTAAAAATGGTTTAATGAAATCACGCATTGCTCGATTTTCGACTTTAAAGGCGTATATCTTTGGATATGGTTGAGCTGGTGCTCTAAAATTTGGATTTTATTAACATTTATAACATAAATAACTAACATGCCAGGTTTCATTCATTTTTGAGATGGTCGGCCGAATCACTGGTCGATTTTCATGGAATTACCCATATATAGATATCAGATAATCAAGTAAATATTTTTAGTTTAAGATATATTTCCTATTTTCGTCATAATAGTCCGCCATGAACCCCGCCTGTCTGAAGTTTTTTATTACTCAGTTATGGGCCGGACCCTGGCTAGAAAAAAATGAATTGATATTATAATATCCAATTATTGTAAAATGCGTTACCAATTTAGTTAAAATAAACTGTTAGATCATAAATTGTATTTAGCATTATTTAATAAAGTAACCTTATAAGCTAATCTTTCCTCCCCCCCCCCCCCTATTGCGCCTATTTTTTGTTGTATTTGTGCAATGTTTAAGATGTATGTCAATAAATTATTATGTGAAAATTCTTATTCTATATAGGAGCAAAGAATTCAATAATTTTTTATCTCGATGTTTGATAAAGGATCCGCAACAAAGAGCTACTATTCACGAACTTTTTCAAGTAATGCACTTCTCTATTTTTGATTATAAATAAATATCTTCTTTAGGCAAATATTTCGTTTAAATAAAAATTAGAATTTTTTTATGGCTATATTATATTTTCCCATTCTTAAGAAGTAATAAATATTGGTGTTCTATTTTAATTTAGCACAAATTCATGACTGAAGTCCTAAACCCGAAACCCATTCAAGATTTAATAACCGAATTTCAGGCCGAGGTATCTGAAGTTTTAGAAGAGCTAATCGAAAATGTTAACGATAATATAGATGTAATAAAATTAATTGATATTTATAAAATGAAAATAGTTAATATCTCGAACTTAAATCTATCATATTTTAATTTTAAGTCAGTATCGAATTACGATAGTTTTTCAAACGAATACAGTGACGCTAACTTAGATATAATCACGAAAAAAGTGGGCGTTAAAGGTTTATTCTAATCATTCATTAATTATTCAATGTAATATACACTAATACCTCAATAGTCAAAACACTGTCAAATTTGTATAATTATTATTGATCACCAAATTTTGGTTAAAATGAAAAATAGTTAGTTGGGAACCAAAATATTGCTTAAATTAGTAGGGCGTTTAGAGAAATTAAGTTGGACAAATTGCATTATTGTATTACACAACTAATGCCTTGATATATTTACTATTATATGACCTTTAATAAATATTAGCCATCGATATTAAAACGCTGGGAAAGGATGGTCAGATTCCCAAATCAAATCTATTATCTCAGGTACCTCTGACTATAATTCCACCCGATTGTGAACTCAATCAATCCATCGAATCTCCTATAGTCACCCATAAAGGTGAAATCACCTATATAGCTCTCACTGATAAAAACAAAATTACTAAACCTGACGAAGCTCTAACCCTTCCTATTCGGGAGGAGGCTAAAAATGATTTGTCTGAACTTGGAAAAAATTATTCCAGTAATATTTCTCTAACAGGTTTATTAGAAATAAATCTTTATCGATTATATATTTTTTAAAGATGATAAGTGCGTTAATGATAAATTGCATATTAATCCTCCTAGTCCAGTTTTACAAGTATATCAAAATTTTATAATATAATTTATATGTGGAACAAGTCTGGAATTTTTATTTTACAATACAAAAATATCTTATTAGGATGTTGATTTTTTATTAATTTAATTTTATATATTCAAGTTTTTTATAATAGGGTATCCCATTCAAAAAAGGAAAGGGTCCAATCAAAAAAGGAAAAGTCCCCAAGGCTTAGGGAAATGTCCGATCAAAAAAGGAAAGGTGTCAAACAAAAAAGGGAAAAGTACAATCAAAAACAGGGATGTGAACCCTTCGACAAAGAAAATGTCTTTTTTCATTTATTATATGCCTTAATTTTATACTATTCACAATTTTTTAAATTCCGGGTTCGGGTCCAGTAACAAGTTTAAAAAGGACCCGGGTCCAGGTTTAGGGAACATAAATATAATGACTCAAAGTAAGACTTTTTTTCATTCATTTTTTATTATACTTAGATATATACACATTCATAATTCAAAATGAAATAATTTATATTTTAAATATTTTATTCAATCGCACAATCATGATATCTTCTAAAATATAATCCTTCAGATTTCCACGTAAATTTGACAATATATATTTCAACAATGAAAATCCACGTTCTACACTTGCCCAAAATAAATAGTCATTTTTATAATACATAAATTATTGTACTTGTGTTGCCGCTACACCAGAGTTGTTAATCGCTACTTTTAAAAGTAGCGCGCTACCGCTATCCCTATTTGTCAAAAAAATTAGCGCGCTACCGCTACGATAATTGTTAAAAAAAAGTAGCTCGCTATTAGCTACTATTTTTAAAAAGTAGCTTTAGCTACTTTTAGGCTACTTTTTATTTATTTTGCATATAATGTAATTGTATAGTAAATAATATATAAAAATCAACATTTATAAATATTAAAATATAGTTAATTTTGATTATAAAAAAATTTATATAATAAATTTTAAATATTTATGGTAATTTGTTGAATTTTAATAATAAAATCATTTCAATATTATCATCCCCAAGTCTAGAGCGACGATCAGAAAGTATTAGTTTTGCCTTACTAAATAATCTCTCTGTGTCTCACCTTCAGCATTATCCTCACAAAATATTCTATATTCATATTAAATAGAATAAATTATTCATCCCGTTTTTAATAGAAATGTGTAGTGATATTTATCAAAAATGGAGTGGTAAAATCATTAGGTTGCTATTCTAAATTTTAAACCTCAGGAATTATGATGTAACTAAGTAAAAATATTTTATCAAATGAATACATTGAATTCCCTGTACTGTATATAAATTGATGGATATTAATGAATAAGAAATAAATTTAGTAAAAATCTAATCATCCATGAAAGATTCAATAACCATATCATATTAAATGTTAAGCTCAATGACACTGTGCAATAAAAACTAATAAAATAATCCATCTCTGTTGTAAATTTTATTAATTAAATTCACTAATTTTTTTATAATTTGATATAAATTATGATATAATATTACTAAAATATGTATGTATTTAGTTAAAAATTCTATATAGAATGTGAAATATTAAACAACTTTTAAATAAATACTGAAAAATTTAATTAATAACTTAACTATTACTTGATTTAATTTTATTACTCTAAATATTTTAAAATTAATTTATAATACTGAAGGCCTTCAGCTAATTGGACCCATTATCGGTCACCATCTTGCAAACTTTATTATGAATCCTAAAAAACTTGTGGACGTCAATAATTTTATTTGCAACTACGTCGTATGTCTGGCATCCTATTATCCTTTTGAGGGCTAATGCTACTGATCTTCTTTTTAAAGTCCTAGGGTCTAGCCAATGGCCTGTGATTCCCAAATAAGCTTTAAAAATATTTAATCAGATTAATTTATAAAAAATAAGTGTTTACCTTCTGTTATGTGTCCAACTATCTGCCGTGGTACATATATGAGATATCTCTGGTAATTCTACTATTAAAGCATCTTTCATCACTTTAAACTTATCTGCTATTTTATTCACAAAAGTCTGGCGACATAAAATATTTGTACCAGGTGATAAAGTTTTAATCATCATAGTAAATGATGGATTATCAACCAAGGACATTGGCTGAACTGTATCAATTATAAAATCCACAATAACTTTATCAGTTAATTTCTGAGAAATATTAGCATTTGTATTATTAATTAATTTTGTCTGAATGGAATTAGTATTTTTGGATGTAGATTCACCTATGTCAAATTTATTTAAATGTTGTTCAATTTTCTTAAAACTATTAGCATGAACAGTCTTATAAAATAAATATCATTATTTTATGTAAAAATGATAATTTACCTTTAGGTGTTTCTCTAGGTTATAGCGATTGATTTGAGGAAATATTTTTTTTACATTTTAAACATATAAATTTGAAGCCAGTTTTTGTTTTAATATTTATCTAGAAAAATTTTTGAAATCTAGGGAATGGTAAAGTATTGCTATGAATATTATTTTCTTCCCTGGTATCTTCCATTTTATTAATATCATTGTCTGACTCTGAATCACTTTCAACGATTTGGATATCCATATGCGATGCCATTTTAAATTATTAACAGGTGATTTAGGTTTATAATACAAATAAATATTAATTACAAATTGAAAATATATTTCAATTTCAAAATTAAATAATAAATCATAAAAATATAATTAATTATGGTATTATATTTAAATTTTCGTGCTTATACTTACATTCATTATATTTATATTTTTTAAAAAAGTAGCCGCTATTAGCTATAGCTACCAAAAAAGATAGCGCGCTACTTTAACAACTCTGCGCTACACCCATGACGATTTTAGACAAGATATATAATTCTGGATATATTGAAGAATTTTCCTCCCAGAATTTTAAAATATTTGTATCTCTATTTATTCTCTTAACTTCTGAGAACTTTTCTATTAAAGATATAATAGATATTTTTTGCTCCTTTCTATCTGATGATAATTTGATTTTTTTTTTCTCTATATAATAGTAAAATTTCCAGATCATCAATATGTTATCATTGTTATAGCTACAACCAGTAGATATTGTCGTAGCCTCCAATATATTGTAAATAATAGAGTTTTGGGTATGCCATAAATCCTCAAGATGGTCTATAGCAGAGTTGTTAAAGTAGCGCGCTAACTTTTTTGGTAGCTATAGCTAATAGCGGCTACTTTTTTTGATTATTTAATTTTTTAGCGCGCTACTTTTTTTGAAAGTAGCTAAGTAGCCGCTACTTTGCTACTTTTAAAAAATATAATGAAGGTAAGTGTAAATATGAAAATTTAAATATAATATCATAATTAAATTTTTATTTATTTGTAAAAATTTTAACAAATTATATTTTCAATTTTCAAATAATAAATAATATAAAGTATTAAAAAAAACGAAAATATAATATTTTATGTTTTAATATATTTAAAAATGTTTGAAAAATATATAATAATACTATAAAAAAAGAAAGAACGGAGATGGTGTGACGCAGGGAAACAAAAATGAAAGAGGGACCTAAGTGTTGTCTAGGATAGCTCTTTGGCTAGAAGACTACCATTGAAACTGATATAATTAGCTTTGAGAATCGCTATGGATATAATTATTTAATTTTGAAATTAAAATATAATTTCAATTTGTAATTTATATTTTCATTTGTATTATAAACCTAAATCACGTGTTAATAATTTAAAATGTCATCGCCTATGGATATCCAAATCGTTGAAAGTGATTCAGACAATAATATTAATGAAATGGAAGATACCAGGGAAGAAAATGTTTTTAATAGCTATAATACAAATTTCCCATTCCCTAGATTTAAAAATTTTTTAAAATAAATATATAACCAAAACTGGTTTCAAATTTATTTGTTTAAAATGTAAAAAAAAATATTTCCTCAAATCAACCCAGTAGCTATAACCTCAAGAAACACCTAAAGGTAAATTGTCATTTTTACATTCTAATAATATTTATTTTATAAGACTCATCATGAGTTTTAAGGAAATCGATAAACATCTAGATAATTTCGGTATAGGCGACTCTACATCCAAAAAGACTAATTCAATTCAAACCAAATTAATTAATAATGCAAATGATAATATTTCTCAGAAATTGGCTGATAAAGTTATTGTTGATTTTATAATTTATACAGTTCAGCCAATGTTCTTAGTTGATAATCCATCATTTACCATGATAATTAAAACTCTATTCTCTGGTACAACAATTTTATGCCGCCAGACACTAATGAATAAAATAGCAGATAACTTTGAAATGATGAAAAATGCTCTAATAGTAGAGTTATCAGAGATATCATATATATGTATCACGGATAGTTGAACACATAACAGAAGGTAAAAACTTATTTATATTTATAAATTGATCTTATTAAATATTTTTGAGCTTATTTGGGAATCGCAGGCCATTTGTATACCCTAGAACTTTAAAAAGAAGATCTGTGGCATTAGAATGATAATAGGATGCCAGACATACGATGTACTTGCAAATAAAATTATTGATAATCTATCTTATATAAAAAATATGTATATTGAATACGCCCTTACCCTCAAGTGCTAGTGTCGAGAGATTATTTAATAAGGCAAAACTTATACTTTCTGATCGTCGCTCTAGACTTGGGATGATAATATTGAAATGATTTTATTATTAAAATGCAACAAATTACCATAAATATTTATTTTTATTACATAAATTTTTTTATAATCAAAACTAACTAAATTTTAATATTTATAAATGTTGATTTATATATATATACTATACAATAACATTATAAGCAAAAAATAAAAAATTTGTTTGTAAATTTTTTTTTTTGACAAATAGCGATAGCGGTAGTGCGCTACTTTTAAAAGTAGCGTTTAACAACTCTGGTCTATAGTCATTTGTTTTTTCTTATACTTAATAAAACTTGATATCTAGGTCCAGTGGCGTAGCCAGGATTTATCCATATAGGAAGGGGGGGGGTATAAAATTTTTTTTGGGGGCGAAGCCCCCAAACTACCTTTAAATAT